ATATATATATATATATATATATATATATATATATATAAAATACACTATTTGAAAAGGATTGCTGTTCAAGTATTAGTTTGTAAAATATTTTTTTAAATTAAAAACCTAAATGTTTTAATATAATCTATACTTTTGTAGATATATTTTATGGTAATGACTTGAAGAGAGTTAATTTTAGTACTTGTAAATTTGGTCTAGATCAAACACATATATCTAGAAATTTGAAATGTACTTTCATGAATGAGTTTTGCTTGCACTAGAATGTCATAAATATAGATAAATGTTTAACTTTTTTTCATATCAAGTGTAATACAGTTCATCAAAATCAGCAGTTAATAATCACAGTTAGCTAGCTGATTGCTTTGTTTGTCCACATCAGTATTGTTACCAGTTTCCTGAAATTATACACTGTATGTTTACTGTTGTTTGCTGTCTCTAGTTGTAAAGTGTTGCCACTGTATTCAGGAGAATTAAAGGTAATTTCCTGGGTAAGCATTAGCAGTGTTAGACTGGTACAGAGACCTTTATGCTGGTAAATTATGTTTTTTTTTAAACCATTATATTTTTGTTTGTGCAGTAGAGCTTTGACGTGCAGGTCACTGGACCCTGTTTAATTGTCAAGTTTCGACTTCGGCATTTAGTGAGGTTTTTTTTCTTAATCAGTTCTGCTTAAAGTGAAACTGCGTGGGTGCTCAAAGTGCATTGTGTTTGATCTTTCATGTGTGCTCTCAGAAACCCAGCCTGTTTTGTACAGTGTTTGATACCACAACCTCTTTGAGTCTTTCCTACCTGTATACTTCAATGTGCACGTTTTAAACTGTAATTGGAAGGTACTGCAGTGATATGCCGGTCTAGTTTTAGGAGTAGTGCAGCGTATGCCATGTGGCTGCCCTGTTTTTGTCAATTAGAGAGTGACACAGGCCAAAGAATCCTGGAAATGCTTGGGGGAAGCAGAACTGCTCTTTAAAACACTTTTAAACAGGCTCTCAAATGTCTCACCAAGGACTTTTTCTGTGTGGGTGACTGGGCGTCCAGTACTTCAGACTCCCAGGCACTGACCTATGAAAGCAATACTTGTTCTAACTCTAAATAACTTCAATAACCCCAGGAGATGTTGTTTATCTATGCAGACTGATATATGCTGTAATTACACAGATGATTCTGAGGAACAAGTTAGTCAACACTGTCAAATGCAAATGATTTACCCTTAACTCCCACAGAAATGCTTCTGTTTAAAGAAAATCATGTCTAATAAATGTACTTTCAATGGCTTAAAAAAGAACATGCTCTTAAAGTCATGGTGAAAACAAAGTAGTGACAGATCTTTTCTTCCGTTTTGTGAAACAGATTACCAAAAAAGAAAAAAAATGGACTTGGATCTATCGATCAGTTGTTGAATGAATGAAGCATGAATGCAAGCTTGCAGTTGATTGTAAGAAAGGGGCAGGGTTTACGTGGAGTAAAGATGCAATGGTAAATGTGACCGCACCTTAAATGATTAAAGTCTAGCATACATGACCAGACAGAAGTCTGTCATTTCACCGGAGGATCGAGCTACAACATTTTAATTACAAATTAGGTAAAAAAATAAATAAAAAATAGATCAATAAATAACCATATGCAGGGATGAATTGTTCCAAATCAGAGCAATAACATGGATTTAGAAAATAGACAGGCTGAATTTTCATTTCAAGACAACTTTAAAAGAGTAGTTGAGCTGCAAATCCTCACTTTCACAAACCTGCTGATCTTTTCCATAGAATTATATAGGGACCAAACTATCAAGCTTTAAAACGGCACCATAAAAGTAGTCTATACAACTTTTGGGTGTCATATTTCAAAACTGTAGCCATATAAAGTTAATAATATATAAGAACTAATGGTCACACTTTTATTTTAAGGTCCAATTCTTGCAAATTAACAAACCATTAACTATGACTTTTGCCTCAATAAACTCATAATTTGCTGCTTATTAAAAATTAGTAAGGTTGTTAAGTTTAGGTATTGGATAGGATTAGGGATGTAGAATATGGTCATGTAGAATAAATATTTTATTACTAATAAACAGCCAATATGTTAATAATAGGCATGCTTATAAGCAACTACACAAAATAAAGGTGCTTCAAAAGGTTCTTCAAGCGATGCCATAGTTCCATTCAGTCAAAGTTTCTTTAAAGAACCATCTCTTTCTTACCTTTTTATAATCTGAAGAACCTTCTTTCGCCACAAAGAACCATTTGTGAAACAGAAAGGTTCTTCAGATGTTAAAGGTTCTTTATGGAACCATTTAGACTAAAAGGTTCTTCTATGGCATCGTGAAGCACCTTTATTTTTAAGAGTGTAGTTAATAGTGAGAATTGGTCCCTATACTAAAGTGTTACCGAACTAATAGTGTTTGGCATTAGACGTGCCGTATTTGAATGTGCGTGAATGAGGGGAAGATTGTTAGTAAACAATGACTTAAATTTCAGTCTGTTCCTCACAGAAAGCTTTTGTATGACTTCAGAAGACTTGGAATATCATGCACACGTCATATGGAGTACATTGTCCACTCTCTTTCACTTTTGTTCTATGGAAAAGAGTACCCACTGCACTTCTTCTTTTGTGTTCCGCAATGGGAAGTCACACAGATTTGGAACGTCATGAGGGCGAGTAAATAATGACATAAAGGATGAACCAGCTTCGAAACCAATTTCATGTTGGTCTACTCTACTCTTTTTAAACATCACTAGTGGTGTCATAGTGAAGTCGTAAATCTGGCAACTGCTGGCTTAAG